CAAGTTGTAGGGCATGTTCCTAGCTCTAAAGGTAGAGGGAGGGGAAGAGGAAGAAAGGAAAAGGAGTGAGAGTACGCATAAATTATAGGTCTATATAAATTATGGGAGAGATGATAGTATTGAAAGAGAATATGCACAAAAGAGAGATAACGATAGATTTTAAGAGAGAGGGTAGAGAGAGGGGAAGAGAAATAAATGGAAGAGAGAGAATATACATAAGAGAAAGATAATGAGAGATTTTAGGAGAAAGAGAGAGAGTACATGTAAGAGAGAGAATGAGATATATTATGAGAGATTTTGAGGAGAGAGAGTACTAGCAAGAGAGAAAAAAAGGAAAGAGAGAGCAAGAGATCAATCTTCTAAAATAGGAAAGAGTGAGAGAGGGAAGAGAGAGAAAAAGATTCCATATATATCTAAGATTCCATATAGATGTAATATTGTTTTCATACTCTAAGAGTAGAGAGAGGGGAAGATGAAGAAAGGGAAGAGAGAGAATATGCATGAGAATATGCACAAGAGAGATATAATGAGAGATTTTAGGAGAGCCTAAAATATCTCTCTCATGCTAAGAGAGAGAGATTTCATATTTCACGCTATGTAAGACTTCTATCTTAATTAGATTTAGAAGTCTTATATACATAAGTCTCTCAAGCTATGTTTTATTAGATTCATGTGCCCCTCTCAACCTCTTCGTACCCCTCTCAACCTCAACAAGGTGTGTTTCTTCTCTCTCTCTCCGTCTCTCTCTTTATGTTTCTCACTCTCTCCCTCTCTCTCTCTTTATGCCTCAATTTGATAAATTTATTGATTTATGGTTTTTAGTTTGTTATTGAATTAAGGAAGTTATTCTTTATTACATTTATTTCCCTTTCTTGAATCCTACCAGCAAAGGTTTAGTAGGTTATTTATCATCACAAAGAGAAAGGTAGCTGCATCAACATGCCTCTATAATAACGCTTCGATTTTTGGGTGATTTTATTTTCTCATTGTTTGTGGTTTTGGTGCACAACAACAACTTATTTCCATAAGGGTTTAAGTAGGTTATTTATCATCACAAAGAGAAAGGTAGCTGCATCAACATGCATCTATAGTAACGCTCAGATTTTTATGTGATTTTATTTTCTCATTGTTTATGGTTTTTGTTTATATGCTATTATAGCAGATTTCCATAAGCAAGCAAGGCCAAGAGTTAGACATCCAAAGCCTTGGTTTATATCTCTTAAATGACTTAAAAGCAACTTAAAAGATACCCAACCCACCACTACAAAACACTAATCGGTATGCCATTCTTGATTTTCCTTCATTCTCTCTTAATTTCCCTAATATTTACGCCAAGCCATTCTTATTTTCCCTTCATTCTCTCTTAATTTCCCTAATATTTACACCAGGCTATTCTTATTTTCCCTTCATTCTCTCTTAATTTCCCTAATATTTATATATGTAAAATAACCATTTTATAAGAAAACTTTTCGCAAACTTTCTTTAGGTAATGAATTACATGTTTAGTAAAGGAACCAGAGATTCGTTACAGAACTAGAGATTCTAATCATTGTGCAATAGATTATGTTTGGTAAAAAAATTATTGGTAATTATAATATTTATATTTTTATCTCAAAAGTAGGAATATTATCTAAAAAAATTGTGTTAGTAATTTACTTATAATATAATAAGGTAAAGCTTTCTATGTTCCCCCTACAACATAGAAGTTCTATCCTCCCCCTTATTCAAACCTCCATTTTTTAATGGAGGGCCAAGATTGCCCCAATCACAATGTCACGTCTCTACACTATTTTATTTTTAATTTTTTTCTGTAAACTATTTTGACACCAAATTTTGGACGTCCATTCCTCTATTAAACTCTCACTAACCAAAAATATAAAAAAAAATGTTTTCAATAAAATAAAAGGACCAAAATACCTCTGAAATTTTTAAGGAGTATTTTGATCATTATTCTTTATCGAAAAATTATTGTTACTATTTTTTATAGGTGTGCCCCAATGAGAAGATGGCACGTACCAAATTTCATATTCAAAAAAATTATAGTAAAAAAAGTAAAAATAAAATACCTTGAGACGTCGGATATAAGATCAAACGGTGAGTGGCTCTCT